AAGTGGTGCATTATCCGGGGTCGGAGGTATGCCTGACTGATGAAAGCTAATGAACCAGAAACGGTCATTACAATCCCCCTAGTTATTGCCGGCAAGGTTACCCGATCGCCTTTGGATAAAACCTGCTCCTAGGGCTCCTCTTCAATGCAGCTACTAAATTCGATTCCAGTTTAGGCCTTACCTTTGTCCACCAACGCCCGGCTATCAGTTTGTTGGGCAAGTAAATTTTCAAATTTGCCTCTTTCCAACCCTGTCCACATTTCTCTTCACCGAAAAGCTCCGCCTGGCTCGGTACGTTTCCCTCATCCCCTTCTTCTCGGATTCAGTTGCATTCCACGGACTTACAGATGTTTGGTGCTCAAGTGAGGTAAGTCCGTAGTTTTCTCTTTTTTAACCGCCACCTTCAACTTACAACTATATTGCTTCAATTCAGATTACAATACAATAAACAAGGCTACTTAGTAAGAGTTAGTAGGCATTGTTTTTATTTTTTTCAGCAATTCCTGAAAATGCTTTGTGGCGACTACGAGGAGCACGCTGTACTACTGGCGAACTACTTTCTTTTCCTCGACGCAAAGCTGGCCGAGGCCGCTGGGGATGTTGAGGTAAAAATGGACGAAACTATCCCAAACGTCATCTTGTGCGTGGGAAAGGCGGTGCCAGATGGTGAGCCCATTCTGCATAAAATAGATGTGCTATATAATGAAATATTAAATTTGCAAAAATTCCCATTAAAAAAGTTCAGAAGATAAATTGGTGACCATACGTTTGTTTTCGATAAATTCTCATCAGGCCTTTACAGATATATGGTAATTAAGTATATAAAATCTGCGGGTTGGAAGAAAAATTAGTGCGGATATCAGGGGAGGTTTGGGGTCAAAAATCTGATCAGCCTTAGGGGGGGACTAGTAGTCGAGCGGTGTTATAAGCTGCTGACTATTGGAGTAGTGGCTTTTGCCCATGGTAACCGCGGCGCCGCGAGGAGGTACTTTTGGGCACACAGGACCGGTCGGCGTAGCCTGATGGTGTCCGCTTTCGCCGTAGCCAACAGACGCTGTCCAAGGAATTTTGAATAGCTTGAGGGCACCTTGTTGATCACTTGGAAGGTTTCTTTGGCATCCACGCGATGGTCTGAGTCTCGGAGGTGCGCAACCAGATGACCCCGATTCCTCCCCCCTCCTCCCCTGACAACCGCGCTAATCCTTCTACCAACCCGCGTAGTTTATTTACTTTATTATCATATAAATGTAAAGACCTGACAAGAATTTATCGAAACCAAACGTATGTTCGCCAATTTATGCCCTGAAATGAAATATTAACCAAAATTCTGAAATGCGCTTTCGATTCGAAAAGAGTATTTAAGTGGGGTTTTCATACTACCTATCGTGCAATAGAATCTCAAAATACTTCAGCCACATCAGGAGGATGCACTTCGCTACTAAACAACTACAGGAAAAAGCTTTGCTTTCAGCTTTCTATAAACCATATTTGAATTCAAGAGAGCGTTGAAAATCAATAACTAAATTAATGCAGGTGGTCGAAAAGAAGCTTGTTGGAAAGTCGGTATCCTGCCTTGACTGAAATATTTTGGAAGGATGCTGGTGCGTGCAGGCATTTATTTTTAGGGTTGCCTGTAGATGGACATTAATAAAAAAACTACTTACAAATCCCAGTAGGCAGATTTTCATCGATTATCCTTTTAGTCGTTGGTCAGGCCTACAGTAAACCCTTACCGCTGCGCGATAGTTAATTGTATAGCCCTAATTAGGTAATTTTTCCAATGGAAAACAAATTTCACAATCTCAGTTAACAATTCAGGAGATAGCAACCCTGCCCTATTCTTCTACGTCTTTTTTATCGTAAACCCACAGCCTAAAAACAAGACCCTTTTGGCATTTCAGGCAACATGATGTTTGCACTGGCGCGTAATTACACAAGTGGTATTAAAAGTCGGCCCATTGCGCAATGGCAGCTTTGGAACCCTCTGACAGGACATTTCTACGCCATCACTGATGTAAATTCACCGCTCCGGACCGTGTCTTGTCTTATCTCACCCAACAAGGTAAGCTGCCCTCTAGGGTCCAAGCAATGTTTGTGCTTAGAGCCCTGCAATCATCAGAGCGAATCCCAGATTTAGGTAAAAGACAGAAGGCACCAGAATGAGGGCTTTATTATGCACAGAACACTAATTTGCAGTCTCATGCAGCAGTGACCGTTTGCGAAGACAGGGCTAAGGTTGACTGTGTCCAGTCCTGCCTGGGAACGTGTGAGACGAGGGTGGCAGCTCCTTTTACATGATTCTGAAGCAATTTAAAGTACGAGCGTGCGTGTGTGCGCGCGTGGAAGTCGGTCAAGAGTCTTCAGGTAAGCGAGTCTGAAAAAGCTGTCCGCGAGGTCATGCGACATTTAGGTAGCGGGCACTGAACAAAGAAATCGGACAGCATTGTCGGATGTACGTCACAGCCTAGCAGTAGGCATGTAGGATTGCCGCCAAAGAAAAGGGAGACGAGAATGGCTTATTAGCCAACGTCAGCCAGTCATACTCAGACCCAAGTGGTGTTTCATCCGAGCCTCGAACTGGAGATTTATTGATCAGAGTCAAACGGCCTAGCCATGTAGCAAATAGCTCATTGTTTTGCCGGTTTAAGTCACGGGTATTGGCATTCGTTGGTGACCTAAACCAGTGATATGGCGAGCTCGTGGCTTAATGGTTAGGGCGTTTGACTCTGATCAATAGATATCCAGTTCGAGGCTTGGGTGGGACACCACTGGCGTCTGGGTATGACTGGCTGATGACGACTAATAAGCCAGAAATGGCCATTCTAGTCTGCCTTGTCTTTGCCGGCAATATTATCAGTCGTGGAGCAGTCATGCGTAATTATGTACCATATTTGCAGCACACGTACTAGCTAAAAGCGTAGACTGGCCTGTTTCGCCTACATTCTGCCGCTGCATTGCACGACTCCTTAACGGTTTCCCCAGCATCCCCTATGCGCTCTCTTACAGATACTTTAGTTCTGAAATTAAAAGCCAAACTTTTAAAACCGGTATATCAACCAGAGCCCAAACAGAGCAAGCTAAGGGCTTCACTGATGAGCCGGACCCCTAGCAGCTATTTCAAGCAGCGGGAGAATTCCGACGAAACACATGTACTTGTGAATTAGAACTTCTGCATTTTGCTGACCCAATACGGGATGTAGAGGTTAACCTGTTGCCTTGCCGTGTAGAAACCAACGAAAAGGGAGTAAAGTGGGTTTACAAAGAGGCAAAACGGAGCCTACTGGTTAAGCGTTAGAGTTAAGGGACTGGTTGTACAGTTGCCACCTCTTATCCTTCAATAATAACCCACTTTTTACGACAGGGGTCTGTGAGCCAATGGCCTTTCCCCATAGCCATTTGTTTTTCGGTTGTACATTTTCGTGTACCTTGGGCACAACTGCATAGCCATCTTTGTGTGTCCGTTTGGTATTGACAAGGCTGGTAAATCCAAAACAACCGCCATGTCTGAGTTTTTGGCGTTATGGCATATACCCAATCGTAGCGCTTCTACCAACTCCGAATGTCGAAATGAGAGCAGGGTAGCTTAACTTGAAAGCAACCGTTGTTTTTGTTTAATTTAACCAATTCCATGTTGAAACAGAGAACCTTTTTCTGGAAGGGGTACACAAGACTGTTGCCAGATGAGCCCAGTGTGTTTTTATCTCTGAAAGTAAGAGTCAGTCACCTATGCAGTGATCCTACAACCCCAGCCAGAAGAACTTGGCGTTCAAGATATTAAAGTAGTTGCACTGTCTGATTATACCACCCAAAAGTCTATGATTCATTCGGAACCAATCAGAGCAGACAGATTTGTCAGTGAGCATCAGCTGAGTGCAGGACGTTAGTGACTCGGAGTTATTGACGGGGTTTTTGAGCTGAAAAAGCGCACGGCTGCGGTTTAGAATATAAACGTTCCTCTGTTTAAGTGCACCCTAGTTGGAGTGACCGGATCGAACTTTTGCAATGTGCATATGCTGAGAGTTTTGCGGGAAAGAGAATCGTCTGGATTATTAATTTTTCGATCCTTTCCTTAATTTAGGAGGATGGTTTAATTTGGAGCTTGCAACTTTTGAGCTCATATATCCTTAGGCATTAACTCTCGCTCCAAAGTAAACGCTCATGTCTGCGCTGTTGGTGTAGTGGCATATATCCAGTCGGATATATGTTGGAAAGATCCCTGAGGTCGGTAAAAGAGAATTCAAATGCTTTTGATTCCATATTATTTACGCAGTTGCCCTCAATTCTAACCGTACACGGCAGTATCACTGGGTTGACTCGATAGAACAGTCTACCAAAGTTTCTCAATACTTCTAGGAAGGTGTTATGGTTACTTATATATTGTAAGTAACTAAACTGTAGCTAAGAATATTTTGCACGATTTACAAATTAGGTCTTGACTTTAAACCACGTTTGGCTTGAAACTTCGTGCAGACACAAAGCTGAACTGTCTTTCCTTTCAGATATGGGCCAACGTGCAGGAGAAAGAGGAACCTTGGGAGGTCAACTGGGATCTCACTAACCACAAATGCTGGCTGCCATTTGATGCTGTGGCCGGGGAGTCATCTGCAGGCAGACGTCACCACAAAAGGAGTTCATCAATATTCACTGTCCAACCGAGCAAGCTGAGCTACTCGACCCCGAACGAACGCGAGATACTTGCCTTGAAGTTTGAGTTGGAAGGCGCCCTGAAGGACTCTTTTATCGAATGGAGGAGAGGAGAGGTGAGTTGCTCGATGAAGTTCGTTGTCCACTGAAATCAACCCACTTAGACGATAGAAGTAATGTGTACGGTCGTGAGGACAACTTCCATTGGGTTGTCTTGCTGACTTAAAGCGGTACCCAGAATGTGCGTGGCTAACATTGACGAGGGCCTCCTGAAGGTTATGTTGCTGATTGACCAATCGGGGGGTGGCATCTAAACAAAGGGTCCATGACCCACGCAAGTGCTAATGTGTGAAAACAGCCTCATGGGCGGTCTTGACCATCGATATGTCATCAGCCACCACCAGAGTGTCTCAGGGCTGCCTCACCATGGAGAGGGCATTGGTGTGTCAAGCATTAAACGGATTAAGACATCCTAATTGCGTCAGTTGGTCAACCAGTACCCATACGTCATGCGCAATGCCAGCGTAAATAGATTTGAGAGGCAATCAGCCAGATTTAGATTCGTCCCTGACTCACTGCCGGAATGGGCTGCGAAGGTCGTGGTGGAGAACCTACGCGCCCATCATTCCCCTCAGGAAAACGCCGGAGATGGAATGAGAGTCAGGGAAAGAACTGGACTACTTTAACACAAGTCTCCCTTACGCTAATGCAATTTATAAGCAGGCCACCACTTCCACTGACATACTGCTGGAATGAGCTGTGAGAGCGGTAGGGAACCTGCAGCCCCGATATTCCTCTTAACCTAATCTCACTCCTGGAGTTGGGATGAAACAGAGGGAGAGAACTGGACCATTTTGCCATAAGTCTCCTTTGGGCAGGTTATCACTGTCTTTTAGGTAGTCGTGGCCTTCGCTGAGTACGGCAGTTAAATTTTTGCACGCACGGCGTCTCGAATGTTCTTCAGCGAAATCAAACGAAGCAGGCGGAAATTACTGAGTTTATCTTCTATGAGTCGGGCTCATGGGATTTTTCAAAGACCCTCATATATTGGATAGCTGAAGTGAGTTGCATTACGAGATGATATGATGAAAAGAAAGCAGATCTTTGAAAAATCTTGTTGTACTCGTGAATTTTCGAAGAGGTATCCCTTGTTCATCGTCATACTAAATGAAAAGTGAGGCAACTCCGTCACCCACAAGCCCGCATCCTCACTGCGTGCAATTCTATGTCGAGTAAAGGACCCCCTACCAGTAGAACAAATAAGTAACGTCATTTACCGCATACCGTGCGCCGGTAGCCCTTGGCCAACCAGGTCGACGTCTTGAGACTTGCACCAAGGAACATAAGTTAGCCGTTCGCCGACGGGACCCTTTATCACTCGTATTT